CGAACTACAAAAACCCTTCTTTGGAACAATTTCCTCCGCCTCTCCTTGCTGCGACTTCTTCATGTGCTCTGTGTTGTGGTTTGAGAGGGCGGGGCTTTGTGACGGCGTGCCTGGGTCCGCGATTGTGATTGGTTGGGAGGAAGTAATGACTAGCATAGACCTACATGATAGGTTACAAAGAGAAGAAAGGAAAACTGCGTTTTTTTAATCGAACTTTTATCAACTCTGTTTTTTTCTATTGCGCCACACGTCTATCGATCGATATATATCGTTATTGAATTATCGCCCAGCCCTAATATATATACATATACATACACGCACACAAAAAGGCCTGTTCAAAAATATGTAATGAAAAGGTTCAAACAATTACAATATTTAAAGTAGGCAATTGAATAAATTACAACTATGTATACTGGTTCAAAAGCAAAACCTTTTAGACTGTTCTCTTTGCATTGCCATAAAATACACTTATGTACAAACTAATCTCTCTATATTATTTATGATCAAGAAGAATCATCAACAGGGTGGAGAGAAAATGCCCCTGAACTAAAGATGAAACGGCAAACTGGACAAAGTAAGCAGCCTCAGTGTGGAGCCTCATCATATCATGCATTTCCTGTATTAGATACGTCAAAGAGGCAGGCCTGGTCAATGCAAAGCCAGCTGCTAAAACACATGGGAGAACAGATGCTTTCTGCCAGAGCAAATGAAACACAGGGTCTCCAATTTGACTGGTGCCCAGGCTAAAAGCCTTTCTCTCTATTCTGTGCTCCATCATATGCTGGAACCTTCCATTTTTCTTTTTACTTAAACAGAATGTGCAACATTTGTTTTTAAACACATCCCCACCGATAAAACATGTAAAGCAATATGGATAGTTTTTATGAGCATGGATGTGTTTCATCTTGTTCAGAATTAATCCAAAAGATAACCGTATCAGTGTTAATGTATGCATAAATGCATTTGATGCACAGGTCTTCAGTGCATGCAACCTGCCAGGACTACTTCACTGCTCGCATGGAAACGAAGCCTCCGTCTGTTCCCTTATTAACAAGCAAGCTAAAACATACGGAAAAAAAAAGACAATACACTGATGGAATGAGTCCCTGATGATGAGGCACATTTTTCTAGAATGACTAAAGCTCCCCCTACTGGTCCTTGTTTTTATATAATTAAAAACATTTGTTCAAAAGAGAAGCTTTTTCACGTAAACACAATTAACAATGACTAACCTTATGTCAAGTCCTGTAGACAGTCCAATGTTTTCCCAGGTCTGGAGCTTCTCAGCCAGTTTCTAAAAGTAACCAAACATAATCAAAGCTTAATGGTGGTCAGAGCAAAAAGAAAACTTAATTTAAGGGGTTTCTGATCCTTAAACGTTTGAAATGTAAATGAACCAGAGGAAACCAAATAATTTACACACTAAAGAGTTTAGTTGATAGTAAAATCCATCTGTTGTGCGTCTTACTCTACACTTGATTTTGATTAAGATTTATGTTAGAATATTTGTTGCCCTACAGTTTTAGAAATACTGTTAATTAATAACACTGGGTTGATGTAGTTTGTTTTCTTGAAAACGTTGTCTAAACCTAACCCCTTTTTTGATAAGCTTAACTTCAGTATATGCATCATACAAAAGATACTTTGATTAATATCTGTGGACTAATGAATCAAGTGCTCATTTGTAATCAGCACTAGTTTTATCTTCCATAAAAAATGCTTAATCCACATTAACCACTTTTGCTTCAGGATCCACTTGAGGTTTAAGTTATCCTTGTTGGTTGTGCATTTTTCCTGAGCTTTTTCCTTCCACTTAACTTCCCATTATTATTCTGCAATACACTAGCTTGTTTCAACTTGGTTTGATTTGTAGCAATGACCAATTGTGACTTAAGGCTGGTTTATGCTTGATGCATCTGCCTTCCGCACATGGAAATGAGACAGTGTGAGCATTGTGTCCGGATACTATAAGATGGCCAAAATGTGTAGGAAGGCCCTAAGATTGGAGCATGTGATAGGCATGTATGGTAGTGTTGGTGTTTACATGTCTAGATCATAACCATGAGAAAAGTCCAACATTAGATACTTTACCTCTTTCTCCAATTCTATATTGACCAGCTCCTCTTTGTTTTTCTCCATTCTCTTCAGCTTTTTCCTCAGCCCTTCCACCTCTTCTTTCAACAGGCTACAATTTTCTCTACTCTCCCTGTTTGAAAGACATAAAAAAAACCTCTTAAATCAAACGAAAGATCAAAATTCTTGGTCTAGCATCAGAATGCACTTCTATTATTAGCTGAAATTTCAAAGATGCGTAGAGATTTAACATTCTGCAGTGTGAACTCTGCAACAGCACATATGTCATTAATAATGTGAGTCATTACATCCAGGCCTCATATTACTTTTCTGATTGGGTTTTTAATGCAAAGCTTCCTGATAATAAGCCCAGGGTTCATGGCAGCACATTTGAGATACTGTCAGCATCATTGACCACTATGCTGACAGTAAGTTTTTTTTTTTTTTTATTCATCGTTTATTGTATTTTTTCATGTTGCTGTACACTAAGTACTTAAAAATAAAGTTACAAGCTTCCTCTGTTCAATTACACAATGCAGGATATAGAATGTGGTGAACCGTGAATAATTCCTCAGCAACGTGTGGGAAATTTAGAAAATTAAGAAGAGGTTATGGGTAGAATTTCCTGACAAATTGACTGGAGTTGGGGGGGAAAAAATACACCAACAACTAAATAAAGGAGCACAAATAAGAGAGAAAACGGACCTGAGGAAAGAGTTTTCTTCCTTGACATATTTAAGCTCCTTTTCCAAATCTGGAACTCTTGCCGCCTCAGACTGAATAGTTTTCACAATAGCCATATCTTGTTCCTGCAGGGCAAGCCGTCTCTCCAGCTCCTGAAAAATCAGAGATACATTTATCAGTCAAAACAAAGCTAAACCATTTGTTATGGAAAACTGCAGAAGCAAATGAATGAATGACAAAACATTAACATGAACAGACACGTGCTTCAGTTTTACACGTCCATATGTGGATGCAACATGAAAATCAAAGATAAAAAACAACAAATTCTATAATCCATCCTTCCATTATAGACAACTGTAAGAATGTATTACCTCATATAGACAAACACACCCCCTTATTTAGTAAATAGCAGAATAATTTTACTAATTATTGTCTTTCTGAGTTCATCTTAAGTCAACTTGAAACAATTTTTCGAACTTTGCTTTAGAAGCACTGACTGTTTCTCCTGAAGGATGTTAAGCGAGGTGTTGGCCTAGTGGTTAGAGCAGTGCTCTTGTGCTCTGAGAAGGTTGCAAGTACCCAGTCTGATCACCACAGCCTCCTCTCTGGGTTCCAAGGAAAGACCCTCAACCCGCGGATTGCTCCCCGGCACTAAACAATGGCAGTCCCCTGCTCCCCAAGAGGATAGGTTAAATGCAGAGGTAGGCCGTTTCTCAATTCACAACAACGCGAATACGAACTCTTTTACTCGCCAAGTATGTTCTTGAGAAGAACACAGGAAAGTCTGGACTTAGGGAGAACAGGAGCATGCAGCATAAATATGGGTCAATTGGAACAGAAGCGTACTCGTGACATCACTGCATGCTCAGCTCGTCTGGAGTTGCATGTCACCTCCTGTTATCAATAGTATCTAGATAATAAATTCTTTTTTCATTTATTGGGGGAATAATAATTAACACAGTCACATAAACACAAATGGAATGAACATTTTTTCAAATAAAACAAAGAACCAGTGGTCCTTTACACACAGCTATGCCAAAAGAGGCCTGCTGCAGACGGGCTTTGGTTAGCTCTGGCTACAGTTAGCCTTGAATGTCTACTGGTTGCCTCGGTCCTCTCAACTTCTGACATTTACTTTTTAATTACACATTAAATCGGTAAATGCACCATATAGTGACACATAAAAGTATAATGTTCTCGCCTCAAATGATCTTAAAATATTCTTTTATTGAGCAACGGCAACAGAAAAAAGAACTTTTAACTTAATACTCTGAGCTTTGTGATCGCTCCACTAGAAGCTGCTGCTGCCGCAGTGCATGCTGGGACAGCTGTCAATCTCAAGAACGGAGAAGTCTGATCTCATGCATACTCTGTAAAGAGGGAGGGGCGAGAACAACATCCGGGGACTTTGTCCGTTCTCTGTGTCCTATTGTTTTTGTGAATTGGAATGGTGCTAGGGCTGAGACTGATGATGTAACAGAAGCACTTGACAACGCACAGGTTGCTATTCTTCTCTTCAAAATCATGCACGAAGTGGCATTTCCCTTGATTTATGCACTTCTGAGTAATCCTCATGAGTTCTGCTGTTTGAGCGGCAGCCACCCCTCTCCCCTGAAAATGAACAATTAGGGAATACCCCTTACAAGAAGCAGCTATCCTAACCAGGCTGTGCCCGCACTGTAAACAAACGACCTATTTCTTTGATCATGAAGGAGTGATTTGAGGCAGAGGGTGATGTTTTCTGCACAAAGTTGAGACAAAGTGGCCCTTTTAGCAGCTAATCTACTCAGTAAAATGGTTTGTTTTCTTTTAGCTAAAGTGCAAGTCATGACAATCAGTTTTGCTCACAAACTTTTTAGGGTTAGCTCTTGTGTTCAAGGGAAGCTCCGACTCGCGTAAAGTGGTGCCTCTCTGTCATATGACTCATTCAGACACAGATCACAACCTACCAGGTAATACTGACAACTTTTTGAAAAATTCAAACAGACCTAAAAAAATATTTCATAGATCTTAATTTGAGCTAATACATGAAGACATATGTTGATGTTTAAGGGACTTTTAGATTCTGCATATTTGTATTACAAAGCAGATTCCATTTTCTCAGATCCTCATTTTTAGGGGTGACAACTGTTTACTGAATTACTGTCTACAACTTTTTATCATAAATCTAACAAAGAGTTTAATAAATCAGTTTTGTTTCTAAGTGCAACTTAAGCTATCACAAATTAATTTTACTGACAAAATTCCTCTAATAAAAGGTTGTTTGCTTATTTTGGGATGGCTGTGAAAAAGGTCCAAAGACATGAACAATCACTTAGAATTTCCTAAAGTCTAAGCTCAACCCCAAACTTTACATACAGGTCATCAAACTGACTGAAACAAAGAACACCACATGTGGAAAGGAGAACAATAGATTGTTTTCCAAATTATATTCATTTCTTTTTTGCATTTTAGCCTCATTATCAGCCCCACAACCCATCTTCACTCCTTTGAAATCAATTTATCTTAGAGTAACTCATTCTTAGCATAAATACACAGCTCTAACAACTGATAGGTTTGCTTTTGCAAATTGATCTATAAGGCTTTGACTCAGGGGATGTATAAATGTAGGCCATATTTTTCATCTTTTATAAAGTTAATAAGCTAAAACATACCTTAATCTTGATTATATGCTCTGAGCATGAGGACTGTGCAGCTTGGAGAGTTTGGCAAAGTTGAGAAGCTTCTTGATACTTTCTGGTAAACAAAAAGAAAAACAGAAGATTTGCATGTGATCAATATTTTCTTTAAAGTGGAGGGGCAGATTTCCAAGAGTATGAAGGAATGTCTCCAAACCTGCGCTGTAAATCCAGCTGTTCTTGTAGCTCCTGGTTTTCCAGTGTTTGGGAGGAAATGCTTGAGTCTTGGTTTTGAATCTTCTGCCTTAGATCTCTAATCTCATCCTTTAAAGCAGTGATGGTCTGGATATGGATGAATAAAGCAATTAGATGACGAGAAAATGACCAAAAAGCATGAATTCAGTCAGTGTATCACAGAGTCTCTTACCTGGTTGGCTGTAGACAGTTTAGTATCTCGCTCATCCAGCCTTTTCTTCAGCCCATCCAGGTTCTTGCGGAGAGAAGAGTTTTCTTCCAACTGCTCTGAGAGGTTTTTCGTTGCTTCTTTCTCTCTCTCCTCCAACTTTTTTATTTGCCCTAAAAGTCCTTGGTTACGGTCCACTTCATGCTGCAATAATAAACAGTAAACATTTAAAACAGAGAAGAAAAGGTAAAAATAAGAGCTGCAATAAACCCTTTTAAATAGAATCCGTTTATGCCTTGGGTTAATTAGTGGATATAGGCAGTAAAACTGCTTTGTACCTCCAAATCCCGAGCGTTGTCACAAGCTGCCTTCTCCAGTTCAAAACGAGCTCTTTTGTGACTCAGCTCCATCTGTTTCTTCTCTTGGTCCAGCTGAAGGTAGCGGTGCTGAGACTGAACTCTCTCTGCTGCTTCCAAAAACTAAGAGGGAAATCAAACTTGTCAGTGGCTACAAAGGTGGTTTTGATCACCTTGGAAGATCAATGTGAAACTTTTTTTTGTACCTCTAAGCTGCGTTTGTAGTGAGACTGCAAGGTCCCGCTCCGTGACTGCTCAGATGGACGCTGTGAATGTTCAGGGCGACTGATGAAAGTATTAAAGGACTTTAAGGTTGTTAGGATAGTGGTGTCATCTTCTAGATCCATTTTAAAGGGTCCCTGAGGCCGAGGTGCACTAATTAGAGGCAGAAAGCTTGAATAAAAACACAGAGACAGGACATCTTAGCACTACATTTATCATTGACACAGAAACCCTTAAAGGTGCAGTAGGAGATCTTTTCTGATGCATTTTTTACCATGTGGCTTAAAGATCTCCCCACAGTCGTATAGCAAGCAGTGAAATAGAAGGTCTGGAAGTGAAACAAAAATAAATGGTCCCCGCTACAGTGTGAATTCAATGAGAAACGCCCCCCAATCACAAAACACGGCCCCTTGTACACTATTTTTTTCCTGACACGTCAATCAGGGTCGCCTGCTTGTCCTAAACCCCTGTGCGCATAGCCTGACATATGAACGAATCGACCCCCAATGCTCGTGCAGGACGCCATGGCTGGAAGCTAGCCACTGCTACGTTCACACCTAAACCAGCAAGAGCAGCAAAAACGTGCGTGCTGCTTCATTTTTTTATGCTTGTACAAGTTTAGTTATGACGTGCTGAAGAATCTCTGCTACTCTGACTTGCGCGGTGGAAAAAGTGGGTCGAATAGGCGTTGGGCAGAGCTATATTTGCTGTGATCAGTGGGTAAAAAGTAGTTTTAACCTATTTTGAAGAGAGAGAGTCCACCTGAAAACTTCGTCAGTACTTCAAATACCCTTCCCGGCGGTGCGGCGTCACTAGGAATCCCATTCAACAGCAGCCTATGGCCTGGTTGCCTCCTCGCGGTTTGCAGCGGCTGGAAAAATCCTGCGGTTTGGATGTCAGAATCCAAATTTCGATTTCGGCATTTTAAGTTAATTTAGGCGTTAATAAACTGTTTCAGAGGAGTGATCATAGCCCTCTGCATCATCAGTGCTGCCTGTCTCCCTGCCAGCTCCCAGATCAGCAACACACTGCTTCAGCTGCTCTAGACGTGCTGCAGGACCTTTTGCTGCGCCGTGATGCGCGTCAACAATTGACATTGCATGTTAATTAGCTGCTTTAACTAACTCTCAGATTGTTTCGTTCTCGACCTCAGCTGACCTCCTCGACAGACAGCATGCGTGTTCCTAGGTTTTCAAGTTGTGGTTTCGAGGGGTGGTCTGAAGGGATGGGCATGGTTGTATATGTTCACAAATATAGCTTGCTAGAACTGTTTTTCCAAGATCTCCTACAGCACCTTTAAGTAATAACCGAAATAAATTGTTCTTAACAATTATAAGCCGAGTTATTTGGGTAATTTCAAAACATGTATATTAAACTCTGTCTTAAAAAAATATGCATGTATTGCAAATCAAAAGGAACACTTCAGCATTCTTTTTTTCTTATTTTAGCAAACATGTTTAGGATATTGCAATGTTCTTGTTCATATTTTCAGCCTAAGCTAAAATCCAGACACAAATCTAAGTGACTCTACCGTCTTAGAATAAATGAATTACTATTGGCTGGGAAAGTAGTTCTATTCCCAAACAGCACCGTATTCATTGCTTTGAACGATAAAGCAAATTGACATTTTTATTACAAATGAACAAACTAATCAACCAGAAATCGCAAGAAGGCAATTTTTTATATTTTGCTGTTCCACCATGCTTTGAAGCATATATGTTAAAAAAAATGTACTCTCTACATTGGTTAGTTTTATTTAAGGGCTGCAACTAAAGATTATTTCAATCTTTAAAATACATTGAAACCATAATCTGTTGATTATTTTTTCGATTAATCAATTAATAATCGGATAGCACGTGGTTCTTATAAGTTTAGACGAAGTGACAATGTAAAACCAAGAAAACCTAACCTTAAGAAATAGGGAAGAATCTGGTTTTAAAACTATCAGCACAGCATGCAGTGGTTAGAGGGTGCCATGTTATTAAATCCAAGCTAAATGAGTAAAAACAAGGATATATTTGTCAGCAAGCTAGCCTCTGTCTAGAAAATTTAGTTTTCAGATGCCGTAACCAAAGTAAATAGTGAAAGCAGCTATTAAATAAAAAGTGACAGAAATTATATTTTGTTTCATGCACGTGTATCGATACGCGTATGCGCTATTAGCATTTATTTATTATAAAATGAAGCTAAAATAAAAGAACACTTACAGGCAAATCAAACGTAGCCAATAGTTAACTGTTGCTATTGTTTGCTAAAGAACGATAAACCCATAAACATTAGCAAAACTGACTGCTGGTCATCGGCTCCCCACAGCATACCGTAAAACATGTGTAAAAACAAGAGTCTTTCATCTGGAAGTTATAACACATTACCTTAGCACTGCTGCTTGTGAACAGGGGCAGGTTCGCTGAGGATAAACTTATACTTCCCTCCTGCTAACTACGTTAGCTACCCTTCGTGTGAGCTGCCCAGAAATCCCTCCAGTTAGACTCGAATGACATGCGCGTAACATCGCGAGACTTCTTCTTCTTCTTATGTTTTTATTGGTGGAAGGCAACCAACTTAAGGTGCATCGCGAGACTTTAAACAGTTTAATTATTTCAACTTTCGTTTCTATACTTTGTCCACATTTAACGATACGGAGGGCTCAAAATAACGTGAAAATTAATAATAATAATAATAATAATAATAGTAATAGTAACAGTTTTCTGTGGTTAAGCTTCTTTTCAATTGCGTAAAGTATCTAAAAATATCTAGAACGTTTTACTATTTAAAAAAGTTAATAAATAAACAACTAAAAACAAAACAAAATGCGACTGACTATGTTATTTGCTTGTTTTTGCATCAGCCTATCGAGATTCATCCATCCATCCATCCATCCATTATCTTACACGCTTGTCCCAATTGGGGTCGCGAGTGGTGCTGGTGCCTATCTCCAGCAGTCCTATCGAGATTCAGATTAATGTAATTAAGCAAGTTGTCCGTTAGAGGGCAGCAAAACCATATTTATGTTTTTTATACATCCTGAATTTATAATAACAAGCTTTTATTTCACTGGTCAGAACCTACTTATAAGCTTCAGGGATAACAAATTGTGTATAACCTTCTAATCAGATTTTAGTTATCAAAGCTAACAACATAAGTTTATTTAAGCCACTATAAGATATTACAAACAAATACCCTCCCAAATAGTTTGCTTATCACACAAAACAGATTGTTATGTATACCCACTCAGCATCCATTTGTTTAGATACAACGTTTTTCTGGTGCTATCAACATTTTTACCTCAATAAATCACATGGGATCTCATTCCTTTAATATTTTACTAGAAATAACAATATATGTGTATCACTGAATTAAAAAGAAAGGCCCCAGGCCTAACCTTAAGGTGGAAATATTCTCCCTTTTATATTAATTTTTTATAGGAGAGAAAATAACTAAACTTTGCTTGTGTTTTTTAAAGATACTAAAATGATTACAACTTTCTAAAACATCTTAGTGAACCAGGCAATAAAACCTAACTGCTCCCAAAATAGCTACCATACCAACAACTAGTCAAAAGTAATTTTATTAGAAGGTTTTGGCATCATTTTCTGAACTCTCTGAAAAAGATTTCTCTAAATATACGTCTGGTAAACATGAAATACATGCTGGAGCTACCAGAGATTTTGTTTTTAGTCCCTTTGTAAGAGAGTGTGAATCCATCTGAAAAGGTCAAACAGAAGATGTTATTTCTAGAGTCAGAAATAGCTGACTTTTTATCGGCCAGCATCTCTCTATCCCACCCTGTCTTTTCTCCCCTTAGGAAAATCTATCTGAGTGTGTCCACTTAGGTATAGTGTTCTTTACCCTAAGGCCAAAAATCTCTCACACTCAGATGCAATCAACACATTTTTCTTTGTTGTACTGTCGTGGCACTGTGTCACCCTTCCCCCAGCACTTCCACCTCTCACTTTTCAATGAAAGATGAGATATTTAGAAATAACAGTCTGATATGTTCGCATGTAGTTGTACATCAGTTTCCTTTTTTTTTCTTTTTTTAGTTGTCAAATGCTTCCACCAGTTATTTCACATTCTGAGCCAATATTGTTGTCAATATCTAAACAACAACAAAAAAAAATCCCTTAGACTGGGGGAGAAAAAGGTGAATACCCATCATTACTTAAAAAGCTTCTAGAAATGAAAATTATGTGATAAACAAGGGAGGAGTTCAGAGAGGCCATGGATGAGGACTATCGGTCGGCCTTGAAAGTGTTCGGGCAAACTGTCCGCTAGGGTCCTGCACGGGTCGACACACACGCATAAAAAAAAAAATCCCCAACTACCCGCCCGACCCCCGACCCGTTTATTTTTATTTATGTATTTTTCACCTGCAAAAGAGCATTTTAGCGGGTGACCCATTGGGGTCCCGCGGGTACCCGACCCGTTGCAGGACTCTAGTGTCCGCCGCCTTAAGGCTGATTTATACTTCGAAACCAGGTCCTCTGCGTAGGTGTCGCAGTGAACAAAAAGCCGTCCCCACCCCCTCCGCAGACACTCCGCTGCACCTTTCCCAAATTGTACTGCAGACAGTGCCGCAGACAGAAGGCCGGCTTGTTTTGTTTTTATGACCGAAATTCCGGAAAACAACTCGTGAAGTTTGACCAGCTAGAAGATCAAGGTGCGCAAGAACACTGGGACCCTTTTTCCACTTGGATCCCGGCTCTTTCTCGCCCTCATGTCCCTCCGTTGTCTGACTAAACTCGCCCCCACTTCCTTATCGCCTCAGCCGTATGTAGACCCACAACATATAGCACAGACCACGCTTCAATATTGAGCATAAAATCAAAAATGTCTGCGTCAAGTTCACTGCGACACACTGCTGCAGGTGTATAACCAGCCCTTTAGTAGGGGGAAGCAGTGCTTCACCAACACTGCTTAGAGTGTGGGTGGGGAACTTCTGACATTGACTGGGTGGAAGGTGATTGACGCGGTGGAAGAAGTACTTCAAGGATCTCTTCAATTCCATTGTCACGTGTTCCAAGGAGGATGCAGAGGCTTGGGACTTAGAGGCAGACTGGCCAATTAGCCATGCTAAAGTCACCAAGGGTGTAAGAAAGCTTCTTGGTGGCAAGGCCCCGGGGTGGATGTGATTCATCCTGAGAACCTTGTCTCTGAATGTTGTAGGACTATCTTGGCTGACACTTCTCTGCAGCATCGCGTGGCGGTCGGGGACAGTATCCCTGGATTGAAAGATGAGGGTGGTGGACCCTTTCTTTATGAAAGGGACTCGCAGGGCGCTTGAGGGTTTGTGGGAGTTTGCCAAACCAGTCCGCATGTGTTTTTCGGAGCAGGGGAAGCCATTCAACCATGTCCCTCGTGGTGCCCTGTAGGGGGTGCTGCCCCTTCTTATGACGTCATCATATTGCAACTCCACTCGGATAAATTGTATTGCATCTCTTTTTGGGTCTCAAGATATTATTACCTATATTTGCTTTTATTTTACATTTCATTGGCAATCTAAAGTAGCCGAAATTAGAAAACAATCATTGTCAGTCTTGAAGGAAAGTACTGCGTTCTAAGACTGAGCTCTGCCATTTAACAAGATGACAAAAAAAAGTCTCAGCTTATTTTTATTCTTTTCTTAAGATTTCAGGGCAGTGGAGGACACATGGCACATCTTAGAAATGACTTTCGTAGAGATTTAAGACAAATAAAACAGTTATTCTACTTGTAGAGAACTAACGGTTGTTGTTAAAGTTAAAAGTAGTGTAGCTTAATATGGCTAACTGACTGAGCTAAAAGAGGCTAACCTGTTAGCTACTGAACACAGCTAGCCACAGCTCTACACCCCTTTACTCCAAGGTCTTGCAGTTACTTTGTTCACCATAAACTTTTATTTTTTCAGTTATGTCATCGATCAGGTAAAACTTCATTGGTCATTAGACACACTAACGCTACAGATGCTCCCGACTCGGCACACGGACGCTCTGTGATGTTATTATCGTTGTCTGGGAAACCACAATGTTTTATATCATGGTAACATTCAGCCAATCATGTACTGTAACTTCACTGGCATGCGCAGGACCTGAGCAGATCTGGTACCTACAGCGGCAGTAAATTAGACCTGTTTCCGGTGCATCATGTTCTCCACTAGGGCTGCCCTTTGTCACTGGTTCTGTTCATCACATTTATAGACAGAATTTCTGAGCACAGCCATGGACCAGAGGGTGTCCACTTTGGGAACCTCAGGAAATCATCTCTGCTGTTTGCAGATGATGTTTTCCTGTTGGCCTCATCTAACCAGGACCTTTGAGTACACTGGGGTGGTTTGCAGCTGAGTGAGGAACCCTCCATTGTTCTTCACCTGAGACAGGTGGACTCCCCTCTTCAGGTCGATGGAGAGTCGTGGTCTCAAGTGGAGGAATTCAAGTTTCTTGGGGTCTTGTTTACGAGTGAGGGATGGATGGAGTGTGAGATTGATAGACAGATCGGTGCAGCGTTGGTAGTCATGCGGTTGCTGTATCGGACTGTAGTGGTGAAGAGGGAGCTGAGTCATGGTGCAAAGCTTTCGATTTACCGATCGATCTAAGTTCCCACCCTCACCTAAGGTGATGAGATCTGGGTAATGACCAAAAGGACAATATTGCGAATACAAGTGGCTGAAATGAGTTCCTTCACAGGGTGTCTGTGTACATCCTTCAAGATCGGGTGAGGAGCTCAGTTACCCGGGAGGAGCTCGGAGTTGAGTTGTTGCTCCTCCACGTCAAAAGGAGCATGCTGAGGTAGCTCAGGCATCTGCTCCAGTTCCTTACTGGTCGCCTCCCTCAGGAGGTG